ATTAATTTGTTAGGCGGCGAATTCTGCACTCCTACGTCATGTTGCGGTGGGCCTCAAAACCACTGGGATTTGGATTCTATTTTAACATCAGGATATTTTTTAAAAGAGACTTCTTTTAAAAAAAGCGTGTTTATATCCAAACAGCTTCTAAAAAGTTTATACCCTTTAACGTGTATACCTTATATTTCAAACTGTGATGCTTAGGTTCATAAAAGAAATATTTGCACAATCTCTGTCAGAGATAAACATCTTAGCATCTTAAACAAACACACACATATTCGCTCACTGGCCACTTTATTAGGTACACCCTTGCAACTGCTCGTTAACGCAAATTTCTAATCAGCCAATCACATGGCAGGAACTCAATACATTTAGGCATGAAGACATGATCAAGTCGATCTGCTGCAGCTTAAACAAGCATCAGAATGGGGAATAAAGGTAATTTAAGTGTCTTTGAACGTGGCATGGTGTTTGGTGCCAGAGAGGCTGGTCTGAGTATTTTTAGAAACTGCCATCTCTAGGGTTTACAGAGAATGGTCCGAAAAAGAAAAAATATCCAGTGAGCAGCAGTCCTGTGGGTGCAAATGCCTTGTTGATGCCAGAGGTCAAAGGAGATCAGCCAGACAGCTCATAGAAAGGCAACAGTAACTCAGATAACCACTTGTTACAACCGAGGTATGCAGAAGAGCATCTCTGAAAGCACAACACGTCCAACCTTAAAGCAAATGGGCTACAGCAGCAGAAGACCACACCGGAAGCCACTCCTGTCAGCTAATTACAGGAAAATGAGGCTGCAATTTGCACAGCCTCACCAAAATTGGACAATAGAAGACTGGAAAAACGTTGTCTGGTCTGATGAGTCTCGATTTCTGCTGTAACATTCAGATGATAGGGACAGAATTTGCCGTCACATCCTGCCTTGTATCAATGGTTCAGGCTGGTGGTGGTTGTGTAATGGTGTGGGGGATATTTTCTTGGCACACTTTGGGCCCATTAGTACCAAATGAGCATTGTGTTAACACCACAGTCTACCGTAGTATTGTTCCTGACCATGTCCATCCCTTTATGACAACAGTGTACCCATCTTCTGATGGCTACTTCTAGCAGGATAACGCGCCATGTCATAAAGTGTAAATCATCTCAGACTGCAGCAACTGCGTAATGCTATCAAGTCAATATGCAGCAAAATCTCTGAGGAATATTTCCAGTACCTTGTTAAATCTATGCCACGAAGGATTAAGGCAGTTCTGAAGTAAAAAGGGGGTCCAACCTGTACCTAATAAAGTAGCCGGAGAGTGTATGTTACACATTAAGTAATCTTAGGGGCTTGTTCAAATCCCTAACCCAAAGTTTGATGCTTGCCACAGTATTCACCACTACTAATAAACAGGTGGAAGCATGGAGAGCACAGACTGAGAATGAGAGACATTCAAATGAAGGGTTAGAGCACGACTTCACTCAACAGCCTGCTTATATTAGTGCTGCAACCTTCACGAAGGAGAGAATGAGAAGGGAAGAAAAAAAAAGAAGCACTGAAAGTATGAGAACAGACAGAGACGGGAAAACAGACCCCTCAAGACTTCACAACAACTTCATAAATGTGGAGTTAATCAAAATATTGTTCAAAGATCTGGCAGTGAATGAGAAGAATGCTGAATCAGCATCACGAGGGGTTTCAGAACTGTAAATGTGTTCGGTGGTGTTGACAGCACACACACACAGAGAAAGAGAATATCAGCTAATGCAGGAGAGGACACAAACAACACACAACGATAAACTTGTGTGAACAGTATATTCGGTATAGTACTGATAATGACAACTGATCGCACAATTCTGCTTATAAGACATTTATAAAGTATAAATAGTCCTCATTTTAGATTAGGTTACAAAACTGGACGGAGTTGAGTTAATAAAGCATTAGTAACTATTAATATACGCCTAAAAAATCAGATATATAAATGGTAATTTGAATAGTTTATTAATCATTTACTTATTCTTTCTGAATGATCTTAAAAAACACCAACTATTCTTAAATGACTGGTTTGCAAAAAACGCAATACACATTTTAGTAATGAAAATGAATCTTGAACAAGGTGTAAAAACACAATGATTAAGCACATTAATTGTGCTCATAAGTCATGAATACAGCATTTGTAGCACTAACGTCAATTAATGTAGAGTTAATGCTTAACAAATAATGAATTAACTATTTGCTAATGTAAAATAAAGGGTTTATTGTGTTTAGTTATTATAAAGTGTTGCCAAGAATGGTGTATTGCACAGAAATATTAAATGTTTAAAGCAACTCAGACTCATTCTAAAAACTTAGTCCCGCGGACGGTTCTGGAGACCACAAAATAGGTCCAGGAGGCTACGTATTTTTGCAGTTTTAGTTTTCGTGAATCTGCGAGAGGCCGCTGTTTACGCTTTTTTCGCATCGTAAATGCCTCTCGCGAGTGCCGTTCACGTCTGCACTGTTCTCGTGTGAACCCACCAGAGGCCGTTGTCGACCGACTGAATGACTGACTGGGCGACCTGCCAATCGACCAACCCACCCTCCTCCTCCTTCCCTAAATCCAACCAATTTTAACAATTGACCCGCTCGCCCACTTACTTCCCTAAACCCAGATGACGGTTTACAAAAGCCATCCAGAAAAAGAAAAGCCCTCGTCTGATTTTGACGTTTTCGGATTTCACCACATTCTCACCCTGTTGTTCACTCGTTGGTTTTATTTTTTGGATTCTGTTTTTGTCTCACCTGATTTCTGGAACTGTTCTTCCCCGGACTCAAACCCGGTCATCGCCGTGGTCAACTCCTCTCTGCATCTCAAGTCCACTGGCATACACGACGAGCTAACTGGACAAACTGGTTGCGGCGGGAAAGCCCTTCACACGGAGGTAAGCGGTCAGCCGGAAAGCACCAAAAGGAACGGCGTCATACTGTCCCGTAGCGTTCGCTTTAAAAAATTATGCAGCCATACGTACCTCCGGTTATGTAATTTGTGGTCTCCAGAAATGTCCGCGGACATAAGTTTTCAGAATGAGCCTGTGTTGCAATGAAAATGCAATGATGCATCATATAAAGAAATCACATTATAGCATATATTTAAACATAAGATGGTTTAAATTGTATTTATATTCAACTAAGGTATCGTTTACTGCATTATTTCCTCGAACTAATGTAGCTTTGGTAAGCAGACAACACTTCAAATTGTTGATAAGCAGAAAGCAAATTCGGTGCACTTTACACAACAGAGAAATCTCATTTGAATCTGTTTTGAGAGTGTGGAAAGAGTCAGACAAGTATTATAACAAGCGGAAATACGGCAAATTAGATTTCCAATGGTACTGGGAATCCAACAGGATGGTCTGAAATTCTCTTTAATAAACAGACGCCTACATCTGAGTGCAGTGTAAGTTTAAATGTTGCGCTTGCCTTGCAAAGATGGTCAACTGAAGGAACAAATACTGGGTTCTAATGCCTCATTTCCACTGAGATGTATGGTTCAGTACAGTGCAGTACAGTATGGTTCAGAACAGATCACCTTAAACAGGCTTGCATTTCCACTGCCAACAATACCCCCTACTTGGTAGACATGGTGTAATATGTTGAAAAAGAACTCCACATCCCATGTTGCGACGTTATGTTTAAGTCTATGTGGTTATGTGCTTGTTTCCCCCATGATCTCACACTGCCCTTCTTTAAGGACAGTCTAGGAGGGTCTTTTTTTGCCTCGCTTTTCCTCAATGTATCTTATTTCCTATTTACTATGCTACCTCTCATCTGACTGGTCTTCCTCTGAAATGTGTGATTTTTGTGTATGGTCGGAGGGGTCTAATGTCGCTACATGTAAAAGTGTATGTGATAAATAAAGATTTTTTTATCATCATCATCATCATCAAGAAGTGATCGATGTCATTCTTGCTCAAAGAAGAAAGCCATATGGGCTATTTATACACTGGTTTGGTACTCTACTTCTCTGTTAGGTCCCAAAAAGTGGTACGGTGGTACTTCTGACAGTAGAAATGGACATAAATGCATACCGTACTGTACTTTAACAAACTGTACCACTCAAATAAAATGAGCCATAAAAATGATGCCTATATACACTGTAAAAATATCTGTTAATCAACAGTTTCTGTATTTTGTGATTCTGTTTTCAGTTTATTTACGGTTGTGATTTGTATTATGGGATGTTGACCTCTGCTCTGCAGAGTTTTGATGTTGAAAATTCAACCTTACAGTATAACAAAGTGACTTTTATTGACATTTTAGTAGTTTAAAATGATATTATGTATAAGAAAAGAAAAATAAGTCTGTAAAATAACAGAAGATATACCGGCAATTAATTACAATATATTAGCTTATTTTATAACTCCAACATAGATGATATATCACTTTAAACTATTAAAAAAACATAAAAAGAAAACACTTTTTTTGGACATTTTCGGGGTTAAAATTTGTTGAAAAAAAGATCCCATAATGCAATTCAAAAGCATAATTACATGGAAAAATAAAAAGGCAAACCACAAAATACAGACAACTGCAAATTTACAGATATTTTTTCAGTGTAGATAACAACAAAAAACATATTGCATCCACATTTATTCACAATATTTCTCTGTAGATTATAAGTGTGTGCTTCAATCTGTTTTAAAGCATGTTGCAATCTGATCGGCTATCTATGATTTTATTGTTTATTGATTGTAAAAAAAAAATAATCCAATGATTTAGTTCATCTGTGGAACTATTATTAGGATTGTAGAGTGGACTTTCAAACATATTTTGTTTTAAATTAATCATTTTTAGCATCTACTATGGTTAAAATGTAGAAAAGTAGCTAAAGGAGTAGAAAAGTTGCACACACAAACACACACACACACACACACACACACACACACACACACACACACACACACACACACACACACACACACACACACACACACACACACACACACACACACACACACACACACACACACACACACACACACACCTCTGTTATGATGAAGAAATCATCTCCTGGCTCTCCCTGCACTACGATCTTCTCTCCGTCTTCAAACTGCACAGGCTCCAGAGCATCAGCCACCGTCAGCCTCTCCCACTTATCCAGCGATTCTGTAACAACACACAAACATGCATTGTTGAAATCAGAATTCACTCTTTTAATGAAAATGACACTAAATTACTGTACTTCCTCTCATCAACAACAAAATCTAAAATCAATCGGCATCATTTACAGTACATCATGCAGTATGTTTTCATTTAGACTTGTGTAGTACTTCTTACAGTACTTCTGTAAGAACAGTACTTCTGTAAGTACAGTACTTCTGTTTCATGCTTTAAATGCAATCTGTTTTGCCCCTTTCCTTAATATATAATAGTCACAGTTGTAATGTAATAAATTTGTTTTTCTCAAGGTCTCGGATGCAAAAAAAAAAGATGCTATAGCAAAAGCACCCTTACATATTTTCTACTTGCTCAAATTGACCAAAAAATGGCAGTACAATTTTAAGAGGCCCTATTTTTATTCATTTTTTATTTTTATTTTATTTTGTCAGTGAGTAGTGTGTATGTTTGGGCCTAAAACATATCTACAAAGTTACAAATCGTAAAGTCCACTCCAACGAGTCCAAAACTGAAAATCTTTTCAAGAGCTACAACAAGTGGCTCAATTGGACTATGTCACAGATGTCACAAAGGAGCCCAGATCCCACCTACAGAACCATGTTTGGCATGCAGTCCTGGAAGAGAACCCTGCGCTCAAGTTCAGTTGAAGTCAGAATTATTAGCTCCCTTGAATTATTAGCCCCTGTTTATTTTTTTCTCAATTTCTGTTTAACGGAGAGAAGATTTTTTTCAACACATTTCTAAACATAATAGTTTTAATAACTCATTTCTAATAACTGATTTATTTTGACTTCGCCATGATGACAATAACAAATATTTGACCAGATATTCTTCAAGACACTAGTATTTAGCTTACAGTGACATTTAAAGGCATAACTAGGTTAACTAGGCAGGTTAGGGTAATTAGGCAAGTTATTTTATAACAATGTTTTTTTTTTCTGTACTGGACTATTGAAGAAAATATATAGCTTAAAGAGGCTAATAATTTTGACCTTAAAATGGTTTAAAAAAATAAAAACTGCTTTTATTCTAGCTGAAATAAAAGAAATAAGACTTTTTCCAAAAGAAAAAAAAATATTATCAGACATACTGCAAAAAATTCTTGCTCTGTTAAACATCATTTGGGAATTTTTTTTAAAAAGAACAACAATTTCAAAGGGGGGCTAATAATTCTGACTTCAACTGTAGGTTTCAAGAACTCCCCTGAATTCGTTCATTCGACCTATTCCTTAAGTATTGAAGATCACCATGATGGAATGTATCGCCAACCACACCAGTACATGTCTATGTGGTGAATGCCCAGTACTAAAACACTCATATACAGTGCAAATTTGGTTTATTAGATTGACTTATACCACATGTCTTTGGAGTGTGGGGGAAACCAGAGCACCTGGGGGAAACCCACATGAACACGGGGAGAACATGCAAACTCCACACAGAAACGCCAACTGGCTCAGTTGGGACTCAAACCAGCCACCTTCTTGCAGTGAGGCAACAGTGCTAACCACTGAGTCACCATGCCACCCTATTCTAGATTAATATGAAAGAGGGGGAAGAGTAGGGGTGGATAGGGGGATTCTTCCCAACGAAGACGACTAAGGTAAGAAAATCTGGTTATTTATGAACGTTTGGATTAATCTGAATGGTAAATCATGTGATAGCTAATGCGGGACCAGCCGTGGTGAATCATAAGCACGTGATCCTCTCGAAATTCTTTTTTAATTAAATTTAATTTTAAAATTAAATGTTATTTTGTCATTTATTTTGGGAAAAGCTTGGTTATGGATGTGACACCTCTTTGTTATGGATGTGACAGATTGACTCTTGTGTGACTTTGGTAAATCAATTATAATAGTTTGAAAACACTGACAGAGATAATATTGAGTATTTTTACAGTATTGTAAACACAAAATGCAACAAGGACCTATGGGGTTTTGCTATTTTGGTGAAAACTTAATTTATTCATGGAAAGGTTGACATATGCATGGAATTGCTCAAAAGAGCGGACCCTTACATGTGATATATTGGATACCATTATTGGCAGAATTTTTTCATCAATATACTGAGACAAGCGTAAATCTGAAATCATTGGAAATGCATTAGAATAATAAGACTTTGAGAGAAAATAACAAAACTTTTATAGAAAAAGTTAAAACTCCAACACAAACATCCACAGTTGGATGTTTTTATAGACCCTTTCCAGAGAACAGTCCCCCCCCCCCACATCCGGTGCTCCATGAGTGAGCAGTGGGCGTGACATCAGAGGCTCAGACTAATGCTTTCATAAATAAACTGACTAATCGGAAAGACACCAAGACTTATGATGAACTTCCTGGAGATATATATGCAGCATAGACCTGAAACTGGATGAGCTTCTGTTGCTCACAGACTAGCAAGAAAGAAAAAAAAAAACCTGCCATCATTCAATACCCAGCACATTCCAGAAACACTTCCCAGCGTCCAGCATCCATCACAGAGCTGTACCACACACGAACACACCAAAACCCTCTGGACATCTCCGGCTGCAAACCATAACACCCAGAATTTCACCACAAGTTCACCACTGAAGGCACTTTAAGCTGGAAACCATTTGGGTTTATTCAATGAAAATGTAAAACTCTGTAGAATTAATAAAACTACTTTTTTCCCAATATTTTTTCATTATGATTATTTATATTCCATAATTATAAAAAAATGATAAAAAAAAAACGATTCACATAGAGCGCCTAAAGAAAATCAGCATACCGCTTTAAAATAATGTCTTTATTGGTCATACAGCCTAAAATCAAATCACATTACAAATAACATTTCCAGCCTTTAAAATGTTTTTTTTCATAGCTTCTTCTAACCTGTATCTTCAAACAACTGTATACTGAAGGTCTTTAAAAAGCAGGGTAAAGCTATAGATGTTCACAGGGTATGATTATTTTCTATAGGCACTCTACACGATATATACAGGCTTGAAGATTTTTCAGCTAATCCTCAACTTTGCTCATCACCACAGTCATATTAATAACCCTATGAATGAATATAACAGAAGCCCAACACAACATTAAAGACTATGGACTATGCACAATAACACTTTTTAAGCATTTATTGCTTATTTGGATGCTGGACAAGAAGGTCTCTGGTTTGAGTCCCGGCAAAGCCAGTTGGCATTTCTGTGTGGAGTTTGTTTGTTCTCCCCACGTTGGAGTGGGTTTACATTAAAGTCGGTCTTAGCCATTTTTAATTTTCTTTTAGTTGTCATATTGATCGCCTCAAACCAACTTTAGGTTTTTATTGTCTTTTAAAAATTGTTTCTCCTTCGCAGCTTGAAAACATTTAGTTGAGAGTATATTTCTATTAGTTCTAGATTTTAAGAAAACTAACCATTTAAAACGTAGAGATTGCATTAATTTAAAAGAGATCGATTGATATAAAGCAATATAAATAAATATTAAATAAAAGTAGAAATGGTGCATTTCAGGATTTGGGCTCCACGGCTGGAACTGCTTAGGGCGCCAAAATCACTAAATCCGCCCATGGCTGTGGCAACCCCTTACAAATAAGATGACTAAAATGAATGATGAATAAATGGATTCTGGAAACTAGATTTGTTTTTCTTAATAGATTTAAGTTCAGCTTAATACAATAAAATTTTGAATTCACTTAACTTTTTTCTATTAAGTTCAATGAACTTTCATCTATATATTTGACTGAAATTACACTGTTAAAAATCTTGCAGCCTTAAATATTTTAGTTGAGTCAAATGAACTTTTCTTGTCATCTCAACTTACACCACATCAATCAAACAGACTCAAACTACGAAGTTAAACTTTGTTTAACTTAAAAAATGTAGTTGAAACCTAATTAACTTATTAAAGTTTAATAAACTTATTAAATTAAGTTAAAGCAAATTAATAACTTTTGTCGTGATGACTATTTGTAGCTTAATTAACTGAATTAATTTTACTGTTTGGATTTATGGTGTGTTTTGAATCTATATGCATCACCAAATGTGCTAAACAAATAAATCTGAGATGAATTTAATAAGCGATGCATCTGACGTTAGTTGCTCTTCATTTCCCATCATCCCTGCGAAGGACAGTAGCAGATCATCATTCATTCTCAGATCTGACCTCAGAACAGTGTGTGTTAAGTGTGTGTGTGTGTTGGGGCCGGCCTGTCTGCATGCCCCAGACTAATGGTCACTTTATCAGGCTGGCTAAGACATCCTCACGGCCGGGCAGACGTCCACCTGCTTCAGTCGTAACCTGAGCCATCAGCCAGAGCAAAACCAACATCTCATGCGTCAACCCAGAAAAAAACTGTGTAAAGTGTGTGTCAGGGTTAGCACCTTAGACTTTAAGGATATTTTAATGTAAAAACAAAAAACTAAAATATGTCTCTGGGTGATAAAGCATTAATATAAATGTAGGCCATCTATGACACTTTTTTTTTTCAGTTTGAGAAAACATAAATTAATATCATGATTAAATTTTTGAATACTGAATATTCGTTTCCCCAATAAAAGTATTATATATATCAAAGGTGGTTCATTCCGCTGTGGTGACCCCTGATTAATAAAGGGACTAAGCTGAAAAGAAAATAAATTAATGGATGAATATATATGAAATATTTAGATGAATTAGATAAAATTTTTCATTTTTGTTTTTTTTCGGTACAGTAAATACATATTTGCTAATTATTGCTAATAATTCTTTTTTATTGGAATGTGACGATACAATTTTCTATATTATATTATCTATTATAATATATAATTATATTACAATTATGAATATATATATATATATATATATATATATATATATATATATATATATATATATATATATATATATATAAATATATATAACTGAGCCGAGGCTCGAACCAGCGACCCAGCTACCTTCTTGCTGTGAGTAGGCACTACCTATTGCACCACTGATTCGCCCATTTTAAATAACATTCAAATGTTATTTCGAATAACAAACCATTGCTGCAGT